TTTTTTTTTTTTTTTTTTTTTTTTTTTTGTTTTCCTACGAGCAGTGGCCCTAAGAGCCACTCGTCACTACTTGCAGAAAAGACAAAACATATGGCGGTGTATGGTTCCATGTTCTAGCACAAGATTCATTATAGTTTTGCACATTTGGTGACTAGTGGAGCGAAGCCCTGAAAAACACGTGGTGAGTTGGCCTGCTACTGCCCAAAAAGTCGCGTGCTCAGTGGTCCCATAACTGCTGAAACACGGACCTTAATGTGAATCAACAGCATATATACTTGGCGTGCCACGTCTCAAACGTGGCTATGAGCATCGAGTTGTCACTCGTTCATGGTGAGGAGACCCTTGCTAATTATTTGCAGGGGCCTCTGGGATAACCCCCAGGGGTTTTCTAATAAATGTTAAGAAGCTATTTGTTTGTTCTCTCTCTATCTCTCTATCTTGCTCTACCCCCGGACCTCTAAAAAAAAAAAAAGAACAACGTTCGCGGATGTGCGAACGTGTTCGGGCGAACGTGTTCGGGCGAACGTGTTCGCGTTCGCCCCCGAACGCGAACAACGTGCAATGCAACTCACGTCATAGATAACTCACAAAAAAACATTCAGGAAGAAGTAATTATTTTCAGGCCCTGAAATTATTTTTGGCGGGGACCGAACGCCGTCGGGTTCGGACCCCGTACGGGACCCCGAACGCGCGTACGTACGGAGGTTTGCCCGGGGACCTCCGTACGTACATGTTGGTGACCCTGTGTATATATATAGAGTCGGTGAAACTCGGACGAAACAGTTTGTCACAGCCCCTCGTTTGTTGTCCTCTTCTCTCTCTCTGCCTACGGTTTACCGGGCAGTTCTATTTGTGACGATATATATATATATGCGCCACATATACTTAAAACATAGGCTTATCTACGGATTAGTCGAAACGCTAGTCACGTCATCACTACTTCGTAAGTTTGTTGATACTTACGACTAGGCAATCCATAAGTGACTCAACTCATCACCGACTGACATCACCGACTTACATCACCGACTGACATCACTAACTGACATCACCGACTGACATCACTGATTGATATCACCAATTGACATCACCGAAGAGTCTAAACACAATACTCATCACAATACCTATTGTACCACAACTCAGTTTGAACTAAAACCCTCACTTCGCGTTCAATGCTCACCTCCTCATTTATGTCATTCTCTTTTAAAAACCTTGTTTAAAATAAGGTTTTATTTGACTAGGGGGAGACGCCTTAATTATCTCCCACATATGTGAAACACACATTGAGTCTCATGTAATAAGTCAAACTAGCTTTGTTACTTTAACAGTTATTAACAAAGCTTACTTTAGTACGAGCATACCCATCAATGTTGATGCCGCCTCACTCAACCTATACCGCATCTGATATGCAAGGTATTGACCAATCTCCTCCAAAATACTCGGAATAAAAATATGTTCGCCAGAGTCGTTATCTCAAGCGCCAAGGTAAGTAAGTGCATCACCAAACACTTCTTTTCTCAATCAATCCGCGCACGTTTATAATCACCATCACCAATAACACACTCAAATAATGTCGTTTCGCCTAGATCATTAGGCTGCTAATAACCTGGGTTCGTTTACTAAGAACCCCGGTGGGCAACCGAGATCCCTGACAACTGCGCCACCTGTCGTGCGCATCGGTCCCGCAAGTGGACCCTTCAGCTGTGTCACGTAGCATTCATGCAAGAATTGTTATCGCGGTACAGTGATGCTTTGTCACCGCTCCGGCTGAGTGCGCCAACCATACCTCTCGCGAACCCCTATGACAGGACAGGGCCACACGAGGTACAACTTACCTTCGCCCAAGGGCCTGTCACCACCCTTGAAAGAGCGTATCTCTACCGAGTTACCGAACCACGTGCGAAAACTGTTCAGTTGCAATCACAGAGGTGACCCAATCGAGGGCGTTTTTAGTACGTTGTAGCATAGGGGGTACGTGCATGCCTCTATTGGACTCGTACGCGAATCGACGCACTGGGGGGGGATGTCCCAAGCGCGACTCGTCGTCGGTCGACTATGACACATCCTTCTTACCACTCGTTACACCACGCCAAGGGAAAACATCAAATTTCTCACACAAAATACTCGAAGTACCTTTTGTGCCCAACCTATAACTTTTCCAACACTGAATCAGTTAGGCGTTGAGCGCGAGACTCAGAATAAATACCGCATGGATGCAAGCTTCCTCATATCGATTAGCCATGCATGAATGCGTAAGCAGTCGTAGTGATAACATACTATGAAGTACCCATAATCGCGTGACCATCAATGCTCTCGAGGGTCACTTTCGACATGCAAGTATCAACAGACACGCTGTCGGACAGATGCGCGCCACGTCAACGTATAGCTGACTCGTCGCGACCAGCCTCCGCACCATAGGACTGCGTATGGTCACGATCAGCAGAATGTTGACACGCTGGTTGGCCCTTGGGTCGAGTCAGTGGGCAACACAGCGCGACGGTCCAGTCCCATGGAGATCGAATCATGGCTTTTGGGCTGAACCGCCGCGTCTGCAAGGGCCAGATTAGTAGGGCCCAGTCCAAACGGTACTGAAAACGGACTAGGGGTTAGTGAGAAAAATAGAATTGACCACTTGGGACCGGACTTGCCGCATCGTGAAGAGTATGGCCCGAAATGGTCAAGGGGAATACGGGATTCGGCCCCTTACTATGATTAAGAGGGGTGTTTTAATTTTAAAACAAGGCCGACCCTTAGTAATCCAAAGTCTCGCCAGCCCAAGCCCGACGCTAATTTTAGCATTGGTCCGTGCTATTTTTAGCATTGGCCGCGCTATTTTTGGCACATGCATGAGTTATTTTTAGCAAAGGCTCGAGCTAAATATAGCGCAGGCCCACACTATTTTTAGCATGGGGCTGACTGTCCGTATCCCAAGGTCGGGGCTGTCCCAAGTCCCGCGCTATTTTTAGCCAAGTCCCGCGTTATTTTTAGCGCAGTCCCGTGCTAATTTTAGCACAAGCCAGCGTTATATTCAGCGCAGGCCCGTACTATTTTTAACACGGGACTGACTGTTCGTGTTCCGAAGTCGGGATTGTCCCAGTCCCGTGCTAATTTAGGTGCAGTCCCGCACTAATTTTAGCACAGGCCCGCGCTATATTTAGCGCAGGCCCGTGCTATTTTTAACACGGGACTGACTGTTCGTATCCCAAAGTTGGGATTGTCTTTGTCCCGCGCTAATTTTAGCGCAGGCCTGTGCTAATTTTAGCACAAACCTGTGCTATTTTTAGCCCAAGGACTGCTG